CCTGTATATCAGTGCAACATTGTCAATGTCTCCCTGAGTAGATTATCTCTCACTGGGTGAGCCGAATGATTAAAGGTGTGCAGGTCATAATCATTTACCTCTAACACATTGATCCCACAAATATTCAGAAAGAGCTGCATTTACATAAAAATATGCATTTTCTCACACATGCAGAGGACATGAGGCTAGTTACACTGATCAGTCCACATAAACAGCATCTGACTACCAAATCTTCAGTTTGATTCCTAACTGTGACAGAAGAGGACCAGCAGAGGTAAATCATATTATAAATGCAATTCCCACATGGACATCAAATTGCTTTCTTTCCCCTCCTGATCCTTCTTGAGATGATGAGCTGTCAGAGATTGGACTATTTATATTTAGCCAGTAACTGAAGCGGATTATGATGGTGTATTTTTAGCCTGCTTTTGAAATGATCAGAAACATTCCTCTTGTGTCGATCGTCGTCTTTTGATCGCGACTCCTCGTTAAATTTTCCACAAGCAGCAAAGGGGTACAGTCGGTTGTAGCGACACAGGAGGTCAGTCTGACAGAGGTCACTCCTCTACTACATAAACAAAAACTCCTCCATCTGCTTTTATCCTGTTGCAATTATGTCATTAATATGACTTCACTCATGCGGCTCTCTCTGCTCCTACACTAATCACTGCAGTCCTGGACGACATCTCGGTGAATGAAAGTATGCCAAAATAGTTTAGCTTCAATAAATGTCTGTGAAGCTAACATAGAAACACTTTAATTGTTCATTAATTAAAGTAATGAAGTTTCAATTGAAAATGTTATGATTAAACAAAACATGTCTTACAGAAGAAGTATGAGTTTGAAACCACACTTCTCAAAATGTACTGTAGCATAAATTGTTACTTTGACCAAAACAAAGATGTGACCTCGATGTGTATCCAAAGCCTAACCCCATTTACTAGGAAATTTCCTAGGGCTAGGCTTACCCTGCTACTCTTAAGGCCGTGGTTGAAATATTCCATTGAGACATGACCCTCCTCAGCTTGTACACAACCAGTTGTTGCTGACTCCTTGAAAGAAAACGTAGGTGACCTCTAAGGGTCCAGTATGTTGTCAGCATGCATTGTTTCTATGTATCTTATGGAAGACAGAAAGTAAAACCTCCAAATATGTTAAACCAGGTATTTCAGGGTGGTGGGTCTAGTTACGTTTGTAAAGGAGGGACGTATTTTAGCTCTTTATTCTGTGATTCAGTTTCAAATTTAACTGGCATAGTGAGATACTGCATTTTATTGAACCAAAGCAGATGATTTGTGAAAACCCCAGATTGCAGCCCAGGGCTAATTTCCATCTGTGTTAAAAATGTTAACTGTGTTGCCTTTCAAGGCTTGTTATTGATGATTTATAGTCTCTCCAATTGTGATGAATAAAAAACCCCAAATCAGACTAGAAAGTAAAGTGGTTTTCATTCCAGTTTGAATTTGTTAACCAAGATGTCATTTACTTTTGTGCAGGAATTAGCAAATGGTTCATACCCCCTTTTTTTCCAGGTGTTCCCCCATGAAAAGTTTCAAAAAGCTAGAAAGCCGGGCCTCTTGGCCCTCATCCTACTCCACAAAAACATGTGCATTAAAAGTCAGTGTTAATTAACTTTTACGATTTTTTTGAAAGCGCCCTCTATGCACATGCTCACTGGAGTTACGTGAAGAATTATTTTTCAAGGCCACACCTTCGGTGTTGCAGGCATGCACTCTTCCACAGAGAGCAGGCATAAAAGCAGATATGATTCATTTTATCCATTTGGTGGACGCTATGCGCTGGGCCTTACCTTTTACAACTTGCAACAAAATTACTTTCTATCTCTACAAGCAGGCTTGTGCACAGGAGGATGAATCAACATTAAACTAAAACTCCAAATGCTGGTCTGGAAATCCTTTCCCTGTAGAGGATCCTATTCACTGTGAACGTAACAGTGTGGTGATGATACTTGCCCACCAGTCAAATTTGGACAATTGTGTTGACCTTAGATTCAGTGGCATACACTTTTGACAGTAATTGTGCAAGTGTACTGTTATGTTTCTTGCCTTCTTTGATTTAAAATGTGCAGGAACTCTTCAGTTGCTTTGTTCATAACTATGTTTTTAAAGTAGACAGAGTGGCAGGATATAAAATCACTCATCTGAACTGTAACCACCGTAGAGACAAGAGGACCTTCCTCAAAAACCTTGTGCATCGTGACAGAAATTAAAATGGAAGACCCGTCTTTGAAATGAGTGTTCACTTGGTTAAGATTTTTACATATTTCTTTTAATACGAGTCAGGTGTGTGAGATAAGCTACCTTCAGAGTGTCATTCTGTGAATGTGAACGCACCCGTCACATCCTGTTTGACCTGATTGGATGTCGTGATGAGGATCATGACAAAAACCACGTGTGTTAATCTTAATCTCTGCTCTGGTTCTTGGCTGAACAGTAAAGACTCAGATGTTTCTCTGGAGACTATAAGTACCTTGTACTAATTGTCCATCTTCTGTGGAAAAAACTGAACCTTTTATTAATTTATAAGATTTTGCACAAAAACAAAATCAATTCTGCAAATGCTGTAGTTTCCTAATTACCAGTATATTCACAACTCAACTCTATTCCTGTTCAAAATTGTCATGTAATATGATATTACATATACAACAATATAGAAGGAATATTTGGAAATATTGCCAGTCAGTTATTTGACTGTGCTTAATAGCGTTTCAATGATATGTGAATCAGTCAAGAGTGAGCGCTTATTTCGAAGCTGGAAAAAAAAAAAAAGTTTTATTCTGCTTTCCCTTTGGAAGACCGGAATGAGTATACATTTAGTCTAATAAGCTGTTGCATTATTTAGAGCTCTCTCAATTCTTCTGCACATTCACTGTAATGACCTGTCAAGGCTGAATGCAGTCAGAAAGGACTGACTTCAGTCGTCATTCAATAATAGACTAGAGTAAATAGGTTTTTTGGTTCACTGTGACTGATGTTTGCTGTGGATGGATTGCTTTAGGGCAGTCGAACTGTTACAGGATACTTTATTATTAAGGATTATTCCATTTATACCAGTCAGGTATTACAACATTACATGATAGTGAATATTGATTTGTGACTATTATGGTAAATGTGGTAATTTGATACTCAAACCAACCACTGTTGTAGAAATGTAAGACTAAGTAGCAATTTATTACCTCTCCAGACACCACAATAACTCCCAAACACTTAACATCAGAAAATACCAAACAACACTGATGTATCCATAACCATAGTGCAGTTCAAATGCTCCAGGATATTAAACATTGGCTCCTGTCTAAGCTAATGTCTTTCACAGTGAAATGAAACGTACTCCATGTCACCCTGAGGGACATTTGGAGGAATTTTTCACTGATGACAGTGTCGATGCACAGATTCACATCATGTGGTCAATACCAACTTTCATATGTCATTGAGGTCTGATTCCAGCTTTTACAGTATTTCACAAAGAGATAAACCAGGGTTCAGATTTGTTGCATTTGAATGCAGCAGGATTACTTGTGTAATCCCAAACATATGTCCCTAACTTATATATAAAGCTGCCAAGTGTTTTATAGACTGAAAATGATGACAGTTTTTAGTTTTGACATGTAAAACATACTGGGGTATGGGGGGGAAGCTGTTTCTCAACTATATGAACTACCAATCATGGAAACCAAAAAGATTTTCACCCAGGAATTTTCTATGTAAAAGAAAGAGAAGTAGATTTTTAAAAAAAAGTTCAAGTTGAAATTAGTCACTACCATTAAATAAACTTTAATGGTTTAGTAAAACTGACCGAAAACACCTAAAAAAAAGTATATCTTGACATCTCTAAAAATAGTGAAATCTCAATAACATCTACAGTTTTTCTGGATGATGTTAAATTTCATGATAAATCCAAATTTCTTATACTTTTTTTTTTTCCATTGACGATAAACGGTAGGACAATTTCCTGTCCCCGGTTTCCTCTCTGATTCATCCCCAGACATAAAGACGTTAGACACTTAGCCAGAACACTGTCTGACTAAATGTCCACAGGAAGAAATGGGAACACGCTGTCCACAGGAAGAAATGGGAACAGAACGCTTTTAGAAAACATTCTAGCTTATTCAGAAATTACTTTTAGTTGATATCTGAAATGTTGTTTCTTCAGCCCTCAGAGTAGCCTTTAAATTTTCATATTTGTTTGAATCTCTTGGACTTTTCTGGCTCAGTAGCAAAACCAAACAGTCTGAGATTTACTCTGTGGTTTGTTGTTTATCAAAGCTCTGTTCGATCCATCAGATGAATTCCCTGGACTCGTATTTGCAGACATGTAGCAGTGTGCAGCCACACATGTGTCCGATATTCTTGGTTGAAGCATGTGGTGTGCATTTCAGCTACTGTACAAGCTTGACCCACTACGAATAATGACGTCTGTGTTTAAAAATGTAGTAACTAGACCCTTTTAAAGTTTCAATAAAAAAAATGTGCGTCCAGTTCATAGAATTTACAAGACTTGCTCAGATTTAGCTGTAAAGGCTTCCCACTCCGTTTTATAAGAATCTAAGCTGCAAAACGACAACGGAATATGCTGAAACATTCGTCTTGATCCTTACTTACTCTTCTTGTGAGCTTTATTATTGGACGTGAGTGATGAAAAGCTGTGTCAAATTATCTTGAATTATTCAGCTGGCTCCTTGCAGCATTGGCTTTTGATTTATTTGCAAGTTTGTTGAGTGTTGCTTTACCATGGCCTTCCACGTCCCCCTCCTCCTTCTATCATTTGCTCGACTTTCACTGCAGTGAAAGGCACCAAAGAAAGAAATGAGAGAAGCTTTGTGAAGGACAGTGATTGTTTGTTTATGAGGATGTTAGCCTTGTGGTGACATGTTTTTTTTTTTTTTTTTTTCCTTCTTCCCATCACGTGGCCAAGTTTAAAAGGTAATTGGAGCACTGTGTAATCAAATAGAACCTAAATCCTGTTTTTCTTTTCGTTAGGGGGTGTGCAAAGGAGAGTTTTTTCCGTTTGATTCATATGGCTTCAGTTCTGCACCCTTGGACAAAACCACCGAAGTTGCTTTTGCTTCCAAAGGGTAAATTGGGAAGTTGAGTCACACACAGCTTGGTTGGCAAGAGAAAGCAATGTTTCTCTGTGCATGTAAGAGTTTGCAGATAACCTTGATCAAGCTGAAATAGATTTTTCTCTGTATCTCAATGCTGGAGTGTTGACTGGGATGTGATTTCTTTATTTCCAATTAAGATACAGCGTATCACATTTGTTGTTAACACTCTCCTGCTTTTCGCTGCTTTCTGTTCAGTGATGGAGGCTTCCGTTGTGAGTACATCCACCGTGGCCCCTGATGAGTTTGACAGGAATGTACCACGGATCTGCGGAGTGTGTGGTGACAAGGCCACTGGCTTCCACTTCAATGCCATGACTTGTGAAGGATGCAAGGGCTTTTTCAGGTATGCTAATATTCAGTCAAAATCTGGCTTGCAATAGTATATAAGCTCTATGGAAAAAGAGTGGAATTTTAGTGACCTTACACAAAGCAAATACATTTTCAAAGGCGAAATAAAGTACAATGAAAAAGAAATGTATTAAAAGATGCACAATACAATTAAGTCAGTACATACATACTGTTGTGTGGACGTATGAAGAAGCCTCTGTTTTTCCGGGAAAAAGCTAACCTGCTGGTAAAAACCTCACCAGCTTTTTCCTGCTGCCGTTGGTGAGTCAAGACTTGAAGTCTCTGTATCCTGACACGATGAGCATTGATCTTTATCGTTTCGAAGCTTTGCACGTGATTTATTTGCAATGTGCACACGGACGGGAATGGATCTCCTTTCTGCTCTGACTGCTGACGACGTTATGTTATGCTGCAGAATAACTGTGTGAGACTGACAGCCGGAGGGGCTCACCACAGCACTCACTTAGGGCAGAGCTCCACTGTTGTTGCCATGAAAGTCTCCAAGAACACAGAAAAGGTTTCTTTTTGGAGAAAAAGAAGTTGCTAGAGAGTCTGAAAGTTGCCAGATATAGTGTCAAAGTGAATAGATTTGCAATGGTGTTTTCCCTCATCCTGACCACAGCCCCACTCAACCCCCCCTGTTCACCACACTTGGCCTGGCCCCTCAGTGTCAACGTGCACAGCCCACTTTGTTAGAGTTTTGCTTTCACGGGGTAGTTACTTTCACTTTGATGGCAATTTAAAGTTGCAGCTAATCTGTCATGCGTTTTCTGGACAATCTAAGAAAAGCTGAAGGCCTGGAGCAAACTCTCATGCACAGCAAAGACCTGCAGACTCCCTCTGGAATCGAACCCAAAGCCTTGTTGCTGTGCGGCTACCGTTCTAACAGCCTATCCACTGTCTGCTGCCTGACTTGGAAAAGTTTAAAATTTGAAGCAAAGACAAAACTGTAACAATTTGTTTTCCTTCGTTTTGTTTTGAAGTTTGTGCGTCTGTTCTGTACATTTGCGTCTGTTCCTGCCAGCAGTGTCGGTATTCAAAAGGACAACAGAAAAAAAAAACGGATGTTTAATAATCTCCTTCCTCGTCTCTCACATGGCCTTCGTTTGAACTCTCATAAAGCACGTTCATCTGTGTTTCAGCTCACATGGGTTTGTAGATGCTCATATATTCGTGTGACTAAATCATTACTCTGCGTCGCTGTTTTGCTCAACTTCTCTCTTACCCTCAGATTCCATGACACGTCTATAGTTTTGTTTTTTTTTCTTTTTAATCCTAGACCTGAAGGAAAACATATCTATTTCTGCCTTGATTATATTTGTGCAAAACACTGTGAATGTGTGTCCCTTTTAATAAAGATGAAGTTAAATTGTAAAATAAAGTACATTTTTCGTTTACCCAGAAAACAGCTTTAGACGATTCTTCACAATTTCTACAATCGTCTGTCACAGTAAACTTTGACTTGAGACTTTCAAAGCTTGAACAGCTACTTCTTACTCTCTGGAGAAGAAGCTGTGGGATCTGAATACAAATCCCACAGCCTCACGTTTCATTTTTATTTGAGACAAGTTGAAAAACGCAATGTTTTTCTTCCACTCGACAATTATGTGCTACTTTGGGTTGCCCTATTAGTACACACGCCGCACTTTGTTGTAACGTGACAAAAGGTGGAAAAAAGTTCAAAGGTTCTGAAAACTTTTGCAAGGAACTGCAGGCATATTTTAATAACCTTTGAAATGTATGTCATTTATTTAGGCGCAGCATGAAACGCAAGGCCTCCTTCACATGTCCCTTTAACAGCAGTTGCACCATCACCAAGGACAACAGGCGTCACTGCCAGTCATGCCGCCTCAAACGCTGTGTGGACATTGGCATGATGAAAGAGTGTAAGTGGGGAAAAAAACCCGGTGACCCATATTTTCAGTGCATGATTCTAACCCTTGCAGCTGGAATTTGTTTAAGCTGATATTCGCCTACAAGAAGTTTTCAAGTATTTTTCAGTTTAATCCTCAATAGTTTCAAACAGCCGTAAAAACACTATAACTCTTAAAGTAGGGGACTTTAAAATTTAGTTGCTACGTTATAATTTGCTCTTTTGCTCATTGTGTGGCTTTGTTAATAGATTATCTGGTTGGAAACCTGAGCTTCTGTGTTAAAATTTACCCAACATGCTGTGTATAAATAAAGTTAATACCAGGGTTTGATACAAAAGCAGCTTCCAACCAAAAGAATATAAAGAAATATGTTTCCTTACTGTACTTCCATTACATCAGATCTGATTTCTCCAGAGGAGGGGAAAATGGCAAAGAAAACAAACACCCTTTTTGTTGTACAACTGGTATATGCATTCATCAGGACTGGTGGGTGGGGGGACTTTTGTCTGTTATGTAATCTTTCGACTCAGGTTAAGTATCTCTGGGTCTTTGCCCCTTTTTAGAGTGTTTACATGCCTTGTGTAAACAAGTGGAGCCTCTCGGCATTGTGTAAAGTATACCACATCTGAAGTTTAAACACCTTATGTGCGATCTATCCTGGCCTCTTCTCGCTACAGTTTTATATTTGTTTTTATAGTCTGCATATGGCAGGCACATCTCGTCTTGTTTTCTGCTAATATCCGGATATTGTCCAAAGTTCTCTTTTATGCAAATGGTCTCAGCCTGCCAGGTGAATGTTCTTGTTTTGTTTTGTTTTGTTTTTTCACCCTTCACCTTTTTTTTCATTTTATTTTGTTGGCAACGGACCTTACAGTAAGCTTTATGTGAACAGGAGCCAGTGATGTGGCTGTTACTGTTGCAAAAACAGCAGCATGTTGTCAAGAGCCGTCTCTCTGTTTCTGTGAGCTAATTCAGCGGCTAGAACAACAAGGAGCAAACGGAACAAAGACAATGTGTTCGGTTGTTCAGTGCAGCAGGGGTCTCCATATAGACCCATCCCCTCCCATTCTCTTCCTCCAGAGAATAACAACCTCCTTTCACCCAAAGCAACATAAACATGCCTGTCATCACAGTGTTGAGCCCAAGTAATGTACCTTTGAACAGTTTTTGATATTTGGATGGATTCTGTTTGTGTGGTTATTTATAATTTATCATCCATCGGTTTACCTGACCTGTTTGGTTTTTCTCCTGTTTTATTTGTGCTATTTTTACCCAAAGAAAGCATTTCTTTCTTTCTTTTCTTTTTTTTTTCATCTGGAAGTTGAGTTTACTCTGGGTGTAGATTTCAAACGTTCTCTTCGTCTTGGCCCTGCAGTCATTCTGACAGACGAGGAAGTGCAGAGAAAGAAGGACCTGATTCAGCGGAGGAAGAAGGAGGAGGCACAACGTGAAGCAGAAAAGGAAGCACGGAGACCGAGACTCACAGATGAACAGAGTCACGTCATTGCCGCACTGCTGGAGGCACACCACAAAACATACGACGAATCCTACGCTGAGTTCTGCCGCTTTAGGGTTGGTGTCTCAGTTAATTTGCTCGACATCAAATCAGCACAATGCAGGGCTAAAATGACAAAGACTGACTTTAGTGATTTGCCATCTTGGCTTTCTTTTATCTTATAGTCATAACATTTTGACTTTGCACTAAAGTAGTCCTGTGAACAATCACTTGAATGATTTCTCTTCTTAAATACTGTACACATAAACCAGAAACAGGCCTTTCATTTTATCCCATTTTCTCATCCACTAAACTTCCTCTCATATTCATTCTTGTGACTTTTTTCTGTGTTAAAACAAGTGCATCTGATTAAATTAGAATGTCACTGAGAAGATAATTATTTCTGTACTTCATCAGCATCAATTCAGAGAGCTATATGCAAGCATATTGCTGCAATGAAAGTATAGAAATAATAATCAATAGAAAGCTCCGAGTTGGTTCCACAATCTCAGTTGGATAATCTGAAAGTGCACATATCCCACAATCAACTTTCATGATGTAAAAAAATAAAGGGATCCCAGTAGGGGATTAATGATTGCATTTTTAGTCCAGCACTATAATGTTATTATGTTGGGTTTGATAAGTTACCATACACACATGTAAACAGGACATGTTCATATTTTCTATGCTAAGAGATTCTTGAACCTGAAACTTGTCAGAAGTGTCCTACTTGGTCTAATCAGAATATGGCTGCACAGTTTCTCAAGGGTCCTATGTCCTCTGCTGGAAAACTTTATAGAGATTCTGTTTTCATTTTCTGTCAGGACTTGGCAATACCTGCTTTATTGACTGTTGCAGTACTGTGTTTGATCGGACTGCAGATTTGCCAGACATAAATCCAATAGAGTATTAGTGTCAAAATTCAGTCCTTAAGGGCTTCTGTCCTTCATGTTTGAAACTGTTCTTTGGTTCATCCCATCTGACTTATGAGTCGGTCATTAACACAACTGAGAAGGTAATCCTACCAATTAAGACACGTTAGAGCAGGAACACTTCTGAAATATGCTGGGCTCCAGGTCTCGAGGATCAGCGGTGGACACAGAATCTATGGATGTTGACAAAACAAAATGAGAGAAGTCCAAAAGTAGGCAAATGATCTGAAGACTTATGTCAAAGCAGCCTCTGGGTAATCAGACCCACAGGTTGATCACCTCCATGACGTGCTACATAGTAATCCCAATGTGACATTGTAGTTTTCTGTGAAAAATGTCAAACTTTTATTTGTCTCAAACTGTAATAATTAAGTTTATGGAAATACACTCTTGAAGAACATCATTAGTTTCACTTGTTTCACTTTTAAAAACAAATTACTGAAATAAATGTTTTCTTGATGATATTCTACTTTTTTGAGACACACATCTATAAATTAATCTTAGGCAAAATGGCAAGGGAAGGCCGTTTTTGTGGTTGAGCTTTCATAAAGGCCTCCCTCTCCTGTGCAGCCTCCTGTGCGTGAGGGCCCAGTGACGCGAAGCTCGAGCAGAGCTGCCTCCCTCCACTCCTTCTCTGATGCCTCCTCTGACTCCTTCAGTCACTCTCCAGGTAAAAAGCTTCACAAAATAAAAACACTGGTTTATCCTCATTTTTGAATATTCTAAAAAGTTATGTCATGATATCTCAGGAAAGTTTGAGAAACATATTTTCATTTTAATGTTTGCTTTTTTTTTTAACTACATGGTGGATTATGGCGTTAAATTAGCCTACAGTGTTGAGATTCCAGACAAACCCCTTCGAATAATAAGTAGCATGCAGACACCTGACTCCCACTGGTAAACAGCCATTCATTAATGCATGCATCACTAATGAAACACAAGACATGGTCTGAGTTTGCACAAACACACAGCAGGCAGGGACACATTATGGAAAACAACCGTCGCTAGCTGCAAATGCTCCATATGTTTTCCAAGCTGCTCTCTGCAACTCATCAAATCTCTGCTTATTTATTTCCTAATCATCTATGTGTCATTGTGTGTCTCATTATTTTAATAAGGTGTTAAACATGAACTCATTTGTCGCTGCAGAGTCTGTTGACACTAAAATGAGCTTCAACAACCTGCTGATGATGTATCATGAACACAGCAACAGCCTGGACTCCAGTGACGAGGAAGGCTCCAGCTTCTCAATGCTTCCCCACCTGGCTGACCTGGTCTCTTACAGTATACAGAAAGTGATTGGGTTTGCCAAGATGATTCCCGGTTTCAGGTACGTCAGCATGAAGAATATCTTCAAGCTCAACTGAGAAACAGCTTTCAACTTGCATTACCATCCACAGGACTTTTTAAAATATTCACACGCTTTGAGATTTATTCATATTTTGACTCAAATTTGAATGTTTATCACAAAACACAAAATGATTTTTAAAAAATGTGATAAATTATCCGTTTTTGTAGAATCCAGAAAAGTATGGTGTACATTTGTATTCAACCGCTTTAAATTGTTACGTCTGAATACAGTCGTGTAAAAGCCATCACTGTGCAGTTTTAGCGTCGACACGCATGCTAGAGTTGATGGGAAGATGGATGGATGGAGCTGATGACACACAACAGTCTACAATCCTGTCAGTCTGTGTGTGCAATCCTGAAAGGAAATGCATCAGGAGCTGCAAACGACTTGAAACTCTGCCAAAATTCACCTTCCAACAAGACTGGAATGGCTTGTATTTAGGTATTCACATGTTGAAATTACCTAGTCAAAGTCTGGATCTTAATCCAATTGAAAATCCACAGCAAGACATCAAAACAGATGTCAGAAACGTTGATATCACAAATGTTTCACACCAGACCGACAGTGAGCTTTCGTGATTGGTAAATGAGCAAACGTTCTCAATAATGTACAAAGCTGCAGAAGGCACAAAACAAAACGTTTGCATCTGCTATTTCAACATAAGATGGGGAACAAGGCACTGACTTGGATGTAGCCTGAAATACATACATGCCATACTTTTTAGATTGTAAATATATTTTTTAAACAGTTATGGTGTATATTCTTCTTTTTTTTTTTACACATTTATATTAAGCAAACAAAATATATGAAGATTTATGCTTATGGAGTGACAAAGTTCAAAAAGTAGGAGTACTTTCGAGTTGTGAGGAATATAGCAAGAAAAGCAAATCACTACGTTGTGTAACAAAAGAATTGTTGACGGTTTTGCTTTTGATTCCCAGCTGTGAACTTTCACTTTAATCCATGAACAGTACAAGAAGAGATAAACTGGAAGGAGGAATTTTACTGTCTATAATCTATTTTTATTGATTTCATTTTTGTTCATTTGTTGTTTTTGTTTGTTTTATTCTGATATACTTAGGAAAACAAAACCTTTGCTTCCCTAAACCTTTGGAATCGCTCCTCGTGTTAATTTATTTGTAAAGTTCATGTATTCTTATCTAACAGTGACGTTTGACACACTTTTGAAGACTTTGCTCACATATCTTTTCTGCCAAATGAATTGATTTTATGCCATAGTGTGGCATGTAGCCATGGTTTAATGACCATTGCCACCAGATTACTGATGTGTTGCCTCACAAAATGCTTTGTTTCATAATACAGTAGTCATTTTCTAAAACCGTACTGCAAGTGTGTCTTGTAAGTAGCTCTCCAAACTTCAAGAGCCAAAGTTTCCGCCTACAGTCACTCACACACCCAACGTATGAATCTGATTAGAATGTATTTCAGTAACATCAGGAAATACAAGTACTGACTGGTTTAGATCTTTCTGTGGCGCCTTAAAATTAAAATATAAAAAGAAACGATATACTAAATGTAACGCAGTGATTCCCAGGTAAAATGTTGAAAATCGTTTTTTTTTTTTTTTCTACACTACAACGTCCTTCTTTTCTACGTAAAAATTGACGTTTCTTTTTTTTGTGTTTAATAAAACTCAGATGAAGATCAGGGACGTGTTTTGACGAATAAATCTCTCCATTTTATCTGGCATTACAAACTACAGTCTCTTACATGAAACTTTACATATTTTAAAGTCGCTTTACATATCTGTAAATTGCTGATCGGTGCATTGACACTCTATTTGTTTTGTGCTGCACAAATTATTTTCCGGAGGCTGTTTCTGTTATCCTCATGGAAACCGTTTTTTCTGGAGTGTGTGTGTCAGTGTGTGTGTCAGGGACAAACGCAAAGTGTGTCGAAGGGTCAATTCAAAGTCAAGGCAGAAACAAGCCAGAGCCTGTATTTTCCTAAAGGTTTCATAATAGGTAAAGGACGTGAAAAATCACCTTAGACCCTGTTTGCCCTCTTTGAATCTGCTTTCTAATCCCTTCAACAACACCCTGGGTCCTCCCCTTGACGTCTCCAGGCCTCAGCTCATAACTCCTGTCAGTTCATTAACTATGTTTAGAATTTTTTTTGAGAGAATTGTTGTTACCAGATTAAATGTTTTAACTAAGCTAAGCCCTAGACGCAGCAACCTGTCCGTGTGTCAGCTTGCAAACAAAACAAACAGTTGCACGTTATCTTTGAGAGTCCCGAGTCGCCTTGAACTTCAACAGCATTTGAAAAATTTAATTACAAAAGCGTCATGATTTTTCTACAGCAAACTAATAGAGTTTGATATGATTAGTCGTAGGTTTTGCAGTTTTATTTGCTCACCTTGTTTGAAATAAATCATGCTTCTTTTATTCCAGGGAGCTAACTGCAGAGGACCAGATTGCTCTGCTCAAGTCCAGTGCCATTGAGGTGATCATGCTGCGGTCGAATCAAAGTTTCAGCATGGAAGACATGACCTGGAGCTGCGGTGCGACTGACTTTAAATACCAGCTCAGTGATGTCACCAAAGGTCAGTCTGAAAGCTGCTATATTTGATTTGTCAGTTTGACTGCTCTGAAGCCAAGCCGCTGTTCAAGGTTATTTACAAACTGAACGCTTTTTAACTGCTAGACGTTATAGAAAATATGTAAATATGTTAAGAATATTATTGCAGGTGTCTGTATCAGTGGTTATAAATAATACACACAGTAACCAGAAATGCCCAGTGTTTACTCTTTTGGGACAAAGGTGCTAATTTAATTGTCTCTGCATAATCAGTCTTGCGTATCTTTAGCCCTTTGGGCATGGCTTTCCTTTACCGCTCAAGTAGGATCGCTTTCTGCGATCACGTAAGGAATGTCACTCCTGACCTGCTGCTTGTGCAAAACAACAAGTCTGTGAACCAGCAGGAGAAGTGTGCTCTTATCTGTCGCTGAGGACTTTCGGTCACTGAGTGTTTGTCAGAAACACGAGAGAACAGACGTTGTTAAAGGGATTAGAAAGTATGTTTTCTCATGCACTAATCAATAGCGTGTGCATTCTGTGCTCTTTACGCTTTTGTAAAACATTCACTCTGGCGGACTTGCAGAAAAGCCTCTTTCAACAAAGTTTGAGCAAAAAAAAAAAATTCATGCTTGCAAGGGCGTTGTGTGCATTAGTTTTTTTAGATCGATTAATGTAAAGTAGCGGTAGTCTCAGAAAGCCAGGGAACCTTATCTGTTAAATTCTGTAGCTCTAAATAGCAATATATAGCAATTTGCTTCATAATGTTAAACTCGGCACAGAGGCGGACGTCACAAACATGATGCTCTTTTGTCTCCGTTACTTGTACCGTTTTACACTGACCTATCTGTACTGAGTTAAAAGCTGAGCTCTGTGTATATTTATGTTGACTGGGCAGGTAAGATGACCTTTGCAAGATTATTATGTCAGTGTATTTACATAAAAATATGTTTTTCATGACAGCCACTCATTTAAAACTGAAAAGCAACATCTATTTCTGCTGCTGCTAAAATATTATAATGCACTCCATATTTCTGTCATAAAACTTGACCTTTATTTTTGTTATTTTAATACATAAACTAATATAACATATTAGCTATTAATAAAAAATAAAGACATTCTGAAAGTAGCTGTGGTTTTCAAAAGCTTGTTTTGCAGAATATTTGACCTTTCTGCTGCTCAGCTCCTTAGAGTATCATAACGGCCTCATATTAGGAGATTGATTGTCGCTTGCCAACTGCGAAGGGTGGCACTGCTTTATTTTACGACTCTTGGCTCTTCATGTTTTCAGTGAGTGGATGTATTTCCACGGAGACAAATTTTTCTTATTTGTAAGTGAGGAAAAAGTTGGAGTGATATTTTATTTTATTTATTTATATAACTTTAATTTTTAGCTGGCTGACCAGAAATGGGCAGAAACATGCAGGGGAGGGGCAACATTGCACATAACGGTGCAACGTCAAATGCTTACCAGTAACCAGACAAGGCTTGATAAAATCATACAGTTGTGTGAAACAGTAATTGCCTCATCACATAGTTTTGTTTTCTGACTTCTTATCGGTCTGGATTATGAAACCATTTCTGAGATTTGAGAAGTTTTTATGTCAACCAACCTGGGGAGATTAGAAATTCATTTTTAAAATAATAAGAGTAAAGACTATCAATACCACATTGTTAAAAATTTATTATTAATGGGGATTATTCACATCTTCTATGTTCATTTTGTACAGCCAGAAGCAGTTACTTCCAAAATCAACAAAACACTTAAATAGACCCTATTTGAAAAGTAGGCTGAAAGATCTTAAAAAGCAACACATCATGTCCCAATTAAACGAACAGGTGAGAGAAAAGGTCACTGACACCTTATCGGTCTGGATTACGAAACCATGTCTGAGGTTTGGTGATCTCGCAAAGCACAGCGAGAGCCGCTGTCTACAAACGGCGTAAACATGGAACAGCGGTAAACCTCCCCACAGCGCTCAGTCGACTACAATTACTTCACATTGAAAGAATGCAGAGCAGCATCTAAAGCACTGCATCTTACCGATAGGGACAACTTGCTGTACTGGACGGAGCCACGAATGCTGGTATCTCGCAGAAGGCTGCCATTAGTTTGTGAGCGTAAACTTCACCAGAATGCAATTATATGCTCATCTCTCATAGCGGGCCACACCCTGGAGCTGCTGGAGCCTCTGGTGAAGTTCCAGGTGGGCCTGAAGAAGCTGAACCTCCAGGAAGAGGAACATGTGCTGCTGATGGCCATCTGTTTGCTCTCTCCAGGTACTGTGAGGAGGGAGAAAGGCGTGTTCTGTATGTTCTGCACCGAACATAGAAATATTATTTTCTATTCCTGCTCTGTCACCTCTGGAACAACCGTAAATATTTTTTCTCCCCCCCTGTCATCCGACGCAGACCGTCCAGGTGTGCAGGACCACGTGAGAATCGAAGCTCTCCAAGACAAGCTGTCAGAGACTCTGCAGGCCTACATCCGGCTCCACCACCTGGGTGGACAGCTGCTGTATGCCAAGATGATCCAGAAGCTGGCCGACCTGCGCAGCCTCAACGAAGAGCACTCCAAACAGTACCGCACACTGTCCTTCCAGCCGGAACACAGCATGCAGCTCACTCCGCTGGTGCTGGAAGTGTTCGGCAGCGAAGTCTCTTAGAATCCACCGCTGGTGAAAACGAATGGAGAGAGCTGAGAAAGTGCCGGATGGATTTTAAGCTGACGTGGGTTACGGAGCAAGTGGAGCAGAGAAAGTGTAGTGCGTGTGCGTGCGTGAGTGCTGGTGTGCGTCTTCATCTCTGTAACGTCTGAAGAAGTGTGTCTTGTTGTAAAGGCCAAGCTTGTGCGGAGAGCAAGCAGATGTTAAATAACACAGTAAACAAGGGAATGTCATGTACTACAAACTAAGCTATCCACAGGACATTTGCCTATGTATCTATATACATGTTTTTCTACTTATTTAATTCAAACAGCTGCTTTAAGATGCCTGGACATTTTGTGCGTGCACGTGTTGTGTGCACACAACTTTTCACAACAAGCATCCTCAGTTATACATTTAGCCATTCAGTTCAGCTACCTCTTCATTTTACTGGGTTGTTTTATAACTACATCACCTCGGTGAAGGAGTCGCTTTCACACAAACAGTTTGGATACCGCACATTTCTAGTTTACCAGTGCAAAAGCGGTGCCTGCACACAACTTTGAATCTTTGGTCATCTTGAAATGGTTTTTTTGTTTTTGCTTCTTTCCAAGGCAACATATGAAAATGACTGTGCACAATTTAAACACATGCCTTTCAAAGTTTCACCAAAGGTATGGTCAAATAATCTAGAAACGGCTTCCATTACTGCTGCTCCATAGTTAGCTTTCCTCGTGCAGCCACTCTGCAAGTTGACTATAATGAAGGAAACTATCGTCATACGGATTTATACTGCAGAATCCAGAGCATTCTCTGTGGTTTTGTGAGGTTTTTGCTAGGACTTTAGGACTTTAATGAAGTGGCTGGGTTTGAGGTGAGAATTAGCCACTAGTTGTATTAGCGATTTTTACACTGCTAATTATTGATCAAACCAAGACCTCTTAATGACTTGTAACTCCTCAAAGTATCTTTGATTAATCTATGGTTTAATTGTTGATTTCTGTGTTTATAAATACTGCTATCTCATATATTCTAAGCACTGTTAAGCCACCCCTCTGCATCCAGTATATTATCACAGATGTTTAAAGGGCTAACATGCCAAACCGAACTGGAACAGTAAGCGGAGGCCAAAGCTGGGGGCCTATCTTCTTGTTTATATATAGCTGCATACTTTACTTGGACTTGGCATAAATATGGAAATAATTGCAATAGTTGTTTTTTGCGCGTTTTGTGTCATTTCGCTTATAAAAACCAATTCCATGAATTGTTCCTATCCAGTATACCGTGAGCTCAGAGGGCGGAGAGCTTGGGAAGCTGCTTCGGACCTCCACAAATATCACACCCCTTTCGTTTCTGACTGGGAAGTGGATTTTCTAGAATGTCCGAGGGCCGGGTCGTTGCAGAGGTGCTGTGCACCTCCACAGCCTGGCCCTCCTGTTTGATGTTGTATGCTGCGCAGCCCTCTAGTGGTTGCATCCTGTAAATACCAGGTATATATATTTACATATATATTAAAAATATATAATGTCTACCGCTGTACATAGGGCTACAAGGATCCTGAAGACTTTTTTTTTTCTTTTTTTCCCCCGCCCCAGAAAGAAATATGCAAACATAATTCGATTCGGATTTATTAACACTTTATTTTGAAGCACTTTGTTCTGTGTTTTTTTTTTTTTTGTTTGGGCATATCCTTCAGTAGAGACAGATCAAGAAATGGCTAAAACAGGGATTGCTTGTGTGTTGGACTGATTATCATCTGTTTAGTGTGATTTCACTTTGCAATGTAAATTTTTAGTAAGAGGATAAGCTGCTCTCACATATAAGCCATATAAATTGCCAAGTTACACCTGCTATATTAAAGTACATGGAACTGATGACTCTGGAGACCTGGGAATCATCATGTCCTTAGCTAAAATGGCATTTGTGAATGACTTTCGGAACATAAGCTTGTATATTTATAGGATTCTTCCTCCTCTCTGCTGTAAGTCACCTTTGGCTGAAGCTTCGCCAGACAGCATCTATTGACATGTAAACTAAACTGCCAAGAAAGCATTTAAGAGCATTTAAGAACTGAGGCCAGTGTTGTCAGGCTACATGTGGGGTTTAGGTTTGACCTTGAAAGATGACATGTCTTTTGTGTTGAAGCAATTCTCCCACAGAAGTCATTTTCACACTTCTCTACAACAGCAGTCGATTTAAGTCAAAGGAAAAGAAAAACGTCTTTTTGTCTATTTAAGCTAAGAGTAAACCACCACCCCATGTCTAACCTCCAGACCTTAGAAAAGTCTCCACACTTCTTGAACCTTCAGATTTTGTCACGTTACAGACGCAAACTTCCACTTGTTTGATTTTGTGAGAGAGACCAACACAAAGTAGAATATATTTGTGAAGTGAAAGAAGACTTTTTTGGATGGGAAAGAAATTAGTATTGAATTATCCCCTCTCCCCCCAAAATCCAGTGCGACTGTATTTAGCTTGATCCGTTTCTCATCATGTCGTCCTCTGCTTGTCTGTCAAAAGCGAAGAAAGACATCACCACAGCATGAGGCTGCCACCACCAATTTTCACCTACAAGACGCTGCGTTCCAGATGCAAGTTGTTCGCCACACATGCCGCTTTTGGAAGTGGGTGAAAAAGTAGCTTGTTGATCTCAAGTAGCACCTTTCGCCTCTCAATTGTGTGCCATTTTGTGTTGGATAAATCCAAGTTTGAGATTGTAACCTGACAAATGTAAAAAACAAAACAAAAAAAAAAAGATACAGTGGGTGTTTTCTTTTTCGTCTCGGTAGGTAAATGTAACTACAGAAGGAAGATGGCGAAGGAAGAGAGCGCCTAGTTTTGTGGCGTCGTCTCCATATAAGGGCGCATAAAGAGTTGTTGCTTTGATCGGTTCAGCCCAGATTTTTTGCTTGTTTTTTAAATCCTCCACAATGATGAAGCCTGTTCTAAGTCACTGAGACTTTGTTTCAACACTTCAGTCACTGTGACGCTCTGTGAGCTGGTAGTCGGCGCTCAACTTTCAACCAGCTTTCGTAGCACAAGTTAAAGCCGCCCTTCAGTATCCCATCCTCAAAAAAAAAAAGATAATAATGTCTAACTTTTATTTTGTATTTGATTTGACGTGCCCTACAAACGACCCTGCTGTGATTGAACTTGTTAGGAGTTAAAACTCGATTGTGTTTAGGTAGTACCACTCGTGTGTGTTTAGTGCCAGTCTAATGAAGGGTGGGGGGGTTTGTGATGTGCTTGGTTACTGAACACTGGCTTCTGAAGATTTGAAAGTCTCCATGTTCATTTTTTCCCCCCCGTTTCGTATGACAATGTGGGTTTTGATTTTGCTCTGTTTCTTCTTCTTCTTCTCCTTTTTGATTTGATGCCCCGTTGATTTGTGTGTGTCTGGCAGCGTGGGAGGATCAGTGAATGTGTAAGTGCCAGAGGGAGAGTTCCCTCCACACAAGAACAGGGTAACAGAGGAGTTGCACTTGTGGATTTGACAACCGAACAGAAAAGCTCGCAAGAATGTATTGTAGCCACTAATTAAACACTAAATTATTTTTGTGCTCAGTATCACATGGCGTCGGGGGAGACATCCTCTTTTGTGCCATTAAATGCCATTTAATGGCACATTAAATGGCATAGGATGAGGCTGGCTAGGATGAGGCTGCATTCGCTCTGATTACATGTTATTTTTCTTTTACTTTGTCTTTTCCTCTTATTTAATTTTCCCCCAAATCACACCAATACATTAATGGTGCATCGTCAGAGAGTCCTGTTTTTTTTTTCTTCTTTTTGTTGTTTTTCTTTTGCTTTTTTTTTGTTTTGTTTTTTGTTATTGTGACTAGGTTGCTCAGACTGTGTCTAGATTTATTTTTCAAGAACAGCATCATAACACAGTAACTACGCCTGCAAAAGACATACGTTAAGGTACACTATCACCAGCAAGCTTTACAGTTTCCCCTCTCGTTCTAAAGATGTTTTTGTAATTTTATTTTATTTTTCTTGTACAACTGTGGCCATTACAAATCCTGTCTGGAATACAAATGTAGATTCACGCCGAACTGTCAGCCATTGTCCACACAAAGGATTTAAAGTTTTGGGTTTTTTCCCCCTTCAGAACAGGCATTATAATGGAATTGACATAAATGTAGTTCTTACAAAAAGGAGCGTCTGCAATGGATGTATATTATGATCTACCTAAAAAAAAAAAACAAACGAAAGAAAGAAAAACCTACCTCTTTTTAGCTCATATTTTTGCTTTAGCATTAAGAATTTGCCTCTGTTTTTACTTTTTTAAATATTTGTATTCATGTGGATATTTATTGCTGTCTAATGAGTCACACTTCAATGATTACCTCAGAGATGTCTCACACATTTTGGGAGAGTCCAGCTAACGAAGTCATTCATGGTTTTTGTTTGTCATTTTGCAATTTTTATTTCCTCTGAATTAGCAATGCCTCCCCTCCACCTCCCCCTTCTTCACACACAAAATACTAGGAGTGTTTTTTGTGTGCTTTGTTTAGTTTTTTTTTTGTTTGTTTTGTTTTTTTTAACCAGTGCCTGTACTCTGACCATCTGCACTCTGGCTAGGATGAGGCTGCATTCGCTCAGGTCGCCGCATTCTTATCTGCACCGTCGCTTCTTTTAACTGTTTTTATAACGACAGTCGCCGACAGGATGCAGTTAATCTCGCTGCCATGATGCTGATATCTGCGGCGTCTTCCCGTCGTTTTTCAAAGGAGAAACTAAAGAGAAATGACCGGAGTGAATGCAGCTGTAAGAAAACAACAACAACCACCTGACGGACTTTGCAACAGAAGAAGAGCGATTTTTTCGGCATAGCTTGAGCTCTGTAATGCATGTCTGTTTTTCTAGCCTTCTCCTTTAACCTTTTTCAGTATTCTGCTGCAAAGTCTTCTTTTTTTTTTTTTTTTTTACAATTTCCCACCAATGGGAAGTTGAAGAGAAGAGGGAAAATCCTCAATATCCATGTAATGCTGCTTCTTTTTGAAATGTTATTATTATTATTGTTTTTTTTTTTATTTTGGGCGCCAAAATGTTGCGTGCAGTTGACACCACAAATAACATCGTCCAAAGTACGAGGCGGCAGTGGAGGGGGCAAGCCTCCTCGGATTGTTGCGTCTTTCAGAACATGTGCAACTTACTGGTGCTTCCTGGGAAAATCTGTTCCATTCAGATCCTTCGCATCATAACGACAGCGTTCACGTTGGTGAGCCTTTCTTGTCTTCATGTCAAACTGCTTCAGGTGAACACTGAATGAAATTGGGAGTGTTTTTATTTTTATTCATTGGTGAGTAAAGGGGAACAGAGTTGCCGCAGCTAAATCCGCCCTGAGCCGTGTGCCATAACAGGAGCCCCTTCACCGCACAAGAGGAGGGTATTAACGGGGCCGGCCGGCTCCACAAGTTCCTCCAGGAAATTTCAACAGAAAGGTCATCCGACCACATGGTTGACTTCTTGTTTTGTTTTTTCTGTCATTCAATTGTGTAATCCCATTTTGTAATGAACAATTTGGAATCTGGCATGAAATTCTCGCCCTGCACTTTGACTCCAAATCCCACCCGAACCAACAAAACCACTTAATATAGCACTTGTGACATGTAGACTGATTCCAACTGCTAGCCGTAAACTGCCTGCATCCGTCAGCATGTCAGGGCTCAGTTCATCAGGACAGTCGAGTCTCCTAAATTCTAATGTAATTTCAAGATATATATATATTTTTTTCTATTATAAATTGGTGTTAATGTAATGTTTATTTTGTCTTGTTTTGCAAATCAAAAATAAAAAATTGTATATAGCAAATTGCGTCTTTGCAAGATTTGAACGAAACACGACCTGTGAAGATTAACACACATTAATTAACACACATTAATTTTGCTTATTTTCCTACAATATAGTCAACCCTGGCAGAAGCATTCAATTGTTTGTTCTTCTCATGTTTTGTCACCATTTAGTTAAACATTTAAGTGTTTATTTTTAGATTTCTATGCTTGAGAACACAAATTAGTTCATCGTTGTGTGTAATTAAGTAAGGAAAATTATGAATGTTACTTTGAAGACTAGGCTTTGAATTTTCCTTTTTGATGAAAAGTTATCCTGAGCTAAATTTGTAGTTAATGCTAAATACTGCTATCACCACAACGTAACAGTAGTGATTCTAGTTGGTTGAAGCGTCACACTGTAGGGATGATATTCGTCAACAGTGAAAGGGAAGATGGTTGGAGGTAAATAAACCTCCCAGAGCTCCAAAATACTTGCGACAGGGGCAGAAATTCACCTTTCAGCAGGACAAATGCATAAACATGCAGCTCAAGTTCCACTGGAATGGTTTAGGTCAAAACGTGTTTAAGGATTAAAATGTCCTAATCAAAGTCCAGATAAAAATATAATTAATCCATGCCAAAAATTGGTGTTCTAATAATTTTAGACATTACCCAAAGTCACCACACAGTTAGCTCCTCAGTTTTCATGATATGGACGTTTCAATGAACCTGAGGCTTTTTAAACTGGCGCTGTCTCTTCACGGTCTTTGTCTTATGCTGTCAATTAGCCACTAGAGGGCAGTGTCTTTCATTACATATCTCAACGTCCCATCTCTGACCTAATGACCTCAGATTTTGCCAATGCCATCAGCTGCAAACAGTTAAAAAAAAAAAAAATCAGTTAGTCCTTACTGGGCAGCTGCATGGCAAAAAAAAAAAAAAAAATTGTGGTGCGATTACTGAAGCGCACCAGTACAGATTAACACCCACACTAGACTTATATCAAGGTACATCCGACGTACCAGCAATATGTCGGAAGAGATTGGAGTTCACCTCAGATTGTATCTCCGGGGCTGGACACGGATGGAGAGAGATTGCAAGAGTGTGGATGCGCTGGAGGAACAAATAAAAGGTTATCAGAGCGATCCAGTCATCGGGCGACAGTTAATTGTCAGCTCTGCTATGAAGCGGAGGCACTTATTTTGCCTGCTGATAAGGTTGAGCTCATGCAGCCCTGCTGAGCCGTTGCATCTGTGCACGAAGGAAAGAGGGTCTCGGGTTGCAACAGCATCCATGAGATGGGGGCTCTTTGGCTGTACTGTACAGCAGAGAAACAACCGGTGTGTGTGATCTGAAAATCACACACACCGGCAGGCTTCTGACAAGTTAGGGTCAGTTAGCATGCACTCTCTTTATGCTTAGGTCACTACTTTGGAAATAATTTATAGCGCTTTCATTTTCTTCTTTCTGGAATAATGTGTTCCCCAAATTAGCCAATACTGTAAAATCCGTACAATAGAGTACACAAAGTAAACGCACAACAAAAAAATAAATTGCTGAATCAAAATGACTGAAGATGACTTGATCCACATTTACATAATTCCCTGTGATTCTATTCAGTCAGTAAGAAAATAAATCATCAAATGGGACCAACAATGTGTCTGGGATTTGTCTATATTTTAGCAGGATGTCAATAATTCTGATAGATCGGCATCAACCGGTTGCCTCATTATGAAAAGGCTGAGATACTTCAAAGGCTCAGAGCTTGGAGGAAACTCAAACTGAGGCTGTGGCTTTTTCTTTGAATCGTGTCAAGACGCTTTTTGAAGCATCGAAAGTCGTTCAGGCCCTTCATGCAGGTTTCAGCCGTACATCAAACCGAAGCCAGCAGGATGAGACACAGGGGGCTAAAAAAGTTGCTAAATTAGCGCAGGATGAACTGAATTAAAGGCCCATCATTAGAATGCCCCACAACAATAAAGCACGGCTGAAGTCCTGTGATGCTGTGGGGGCTTCCTGGCTGTCGGTGATTAAAATAGATTTCAAAGCTAACATATTTCTGATTCAGAATACAGAGTCTGATCTTGAGGTTTTGATTAAAAAGCGGGCGGCACCGACCGGAACCACCAGCAGATTCACTTTGCTTTAACTGTTTTCTTTTTTTTTCACTAAACTTATTTCTTGTCCTGCTTTAATCAACGGTTTAGTCATAAGATACATGCTATTGTCTTTGTTTAGTAAAATCATATTTTAACTAATAAAAAAAGGAGATCCAAAAGAAGAAGGCAAGGTTGAATTAATGCTTAATATCCAGCTGAATGAAACCACAACCAAAACACCGCGATTCCTTCAGTTTCCTGACTTTTTTCAATCAGAAATGCTAGAAACACATCGAGGCTCCTTCAGCTATGCTCGTCATCAGTCGGGTCCCATTGCACGGAGAAGCAATGGGACCCGATGGCAATGGGAATCGTTTTGACTCTTGTCAAACTCTTTCAAATCCTCCTGACATTTCTCCCAACATTAGCTTTTAAGAAAATAACCACTTACTACCCAAGATACCAGTCACTAGAACCATGATAGAAATATGTGATTTATTTGTTTTCAATTTTTAGTGTTTGCAATGTTATGCCAGAAGAGTGTGTGTTGGAGTGTATTGGTATATTCCCACAGCCCTGTTCAGCAATATGGAACGTATTATAACTCAAACACATCATATATAGGGCCTATATATATTTAGGTAGATGCTTGAAAGCCTTTGTTTATGTTAATCAAGAGGATGTTTTGCTTCCGGTGAATAAAAATCTAAACGTTTCATCAGACCAATAAAATTGATGAAAGGTAGGTTTACTCCCTGATTAAAGGTCGCCGGTTTTCAGACGGCACTTTTAATCTGACAAGTGAAGCCTCATCAGAATGCATATTATCATGAATTGAACAAAGTTTTGTAGTAAGCGCCCCTGTGTTCACACTTTCGAATGATGCCCTGGGCAACTGCCCATTCTGCCTGTAAGAAAAAAACAACATCACCTGTACTTTGATCGCAACTCATCCAACTACAGCTTTGTAACAGTTCTTCATATTCAGTTTTGCCTATCTGCATTTCTGCTTGTCCTCACTATGAAAGCAGCACAACGTGACACAGAGCCGACTGCGGACAATAAGCAAGGAAAACTTCTGGTTGCAGTTTGGTAGAGCCGAAGACGACGCAGGTCACATTTCTCGGAACCGCGCTTGATGCCTTTGCTTGGTTTCTGGGTGAAACAGCCTCTGGTCACTGGTGAATAGATAAAGAAACAGAGAGTGGATTCAGCCCACAATAAGATGGTCGCAGAAGGCGTGTATTTCTGTCTGAGTTGGTATTAATACAGACGGGTGGTTCCCTCATCGCAGCACATGTGCGCCCTGATAGCGCCAGCGTTTGTGTTTTCGTGTCCCAGCTCGGGGGTTACGAGTTGCTCGGTTGCCACATGGCAGCCTCCCTGCCTGAGAGGGGATGTCAGTTGTGACTTTCCAGCAACAACAAGGGCGTGTTTGTTTTCTGCGTGCGTATCTCACACACGTGTGTGCGTGTCAGAGAGACGAGCCGTTTTCGTTCCAGCCAAACGGTCACAATGACAAAACGGAGAAAAAATGTCAAACTCTGCCACCCTTTCTTTGCTTTTTCTCTTTCTGATTTCTAATGTTTCTTTCTCTCCCTGCCTGGGCCGGACGCGGGATCACTGCGAGTCATCCAAATGTGCTCAGGGCCGCGGTGTCGGTTCAGAATGAGGGGAGCGCGTCTGGACGCTCCTCCATTTTTAGATCCTCTGTGGGGCAAAATAACAACGATTGTAAGGAAACACACCCAAACACTCTGAGAGAGAAGTTTCTCTGCCGCCATTGAGGTTCGCACTAACATTCTACTAATGGCACAAGAAAATAAATCACTTCAAGACAATTAAATGAAAAAGAAAGAAGAGCGAGGAATCCTCTTCTATATTTCAATTCGAGGAGGAAAGAAAAATCCCCATTTTTCTGATTTATGATTTTTTTTTCTTTCTTGTCCTTCTTGCTTTCGAGGCAAAGGAAGAGAAGAGTACAGTGTGCATGTTTATATGAGGAAGTGTTCTCCCTGGAAAAGAATGGCTGCAAAGTTACACTAATGGCTCAACATTTCCTCCATGATTTCCAGAGCCCTATATTTATACTCGAAGCACGCATGTAGCATGCCACCAGCTTATTCATGTTTTAAGCACGCCAGTAATGTGGTTTTTATTGCAGATCTTATTGTGTTGCACAGGGCCTCACTTTAAACCCTCGAATTTTTCAGCATTTTGCACGGCCGCAAACACAAACTCCAGTGTGTTTTTTGTTGGAAATGTTGGATGAGCTTGAAGTGGAGGGAAAATGGGTCTCGTAGTTGTTTGTTTTTATTTGAGTTTTTATTTATTTTTTTATTTTTTCTGGAATAAAACCCTGCAAAGTGTGGCGGGTATATGTTCTTCACTGTCACCTTTTAATGAAATCCTCCACAACCGATTGCTTGACAGGTTAAGGGAGAACGTTGTGGTGAGGTTTTTTTTTTTTTTTTGTCTGGGCTATTTTTGTCAGCACTCTGAGTTCCTTGGTTGAGTTTTGTTTATTTCTATTTCCTTGTTCCGTCTTTGGTTAGATCATTCTTATTCCTGTTTGCCTTTCAGCTCTTCATAGTGTTTCTAGTTGTGTTAGTTCTTATAGTTATTTTTTGTTACTCTAGTTTCACTTGGTTTCATTTCATTGGGTCTAGTTATTCCTTAGCGTTTGTATTTTTCTTGTTCCCCTTGTGTTATCTCCCTTGCTTCCCTGTGCCACTTCCTCTCCTCCGTCCCTCAGTCTGGTCCTGATCCCTCCACTCACACCTGCAATCAGTTCGCTCATCAGCCCAGGTCTTTTGTTCCAGTACCCGACCTCCCAGTATTTAAGCACCTCATTGTCAGTCAGTACTTGCCTGGTCGTCTCGTCTCTTGCTATTTCTCCCTGGTTTCCCACAAAGGTCCTTGTGTCTCCGGTTTGGCTTTA